CTGCGGCTGCTTGGCCAGAGCGCCCAGCCCGGCCCGCCACCATGGAGACACACTACCAGATAGTGGGTCTCCATGCCGCCACCCTGAGCATGGGCCGGGTGGCGGCCCGGACCGTCAGAGGAGCGGGCCGTCGCACAACCCGCTCCGATCGGCACCACGCTTGGCTTCGGCTGCGTAGCCGAGCTCGCAACGCGCTGGCTCGCTGCGAGCGGCGGTCGGTTCGATGCCAGGCAAGGCAGCGCGCCGCTCGGCAGCCATCCTTGTCTAACCCACTAGCCGCCCTGAGTGCGAGAGAGATGCAAGATGTGCTCGCTCGTCGAGCGTCGATCACACCGGTCCACCGGCCGGTGGCGGCAAGAATAAAGGGCAAGGACAGCGTTTCTCAACCGTTTTCGGTTCGCGACCCCAAATTTGTATCGAAAAGTTTCCGCGACCCCCAGGAAAAATTTCGTGACCCCACGTGACCCCTCCTTTAGCATGCCTTTGATACAAAATGCGATAATCCACCTTAGTTTCGAAGCAGTATTGCAGCAAAAATGATCAAAACGGTCACAAATGTCTTTGAAAAATCGTGTTTTGGGCCGACTTCACTCCAAATCGAAAGGCGGTAATATTTCCACCCTTTACTGGCGGTACTTGGCTATTGGCGGGCTCCAGGTTTTACCGCCAATACGAAGGCGGTACAGAAATTACCGCCCTTACAGCACCGTTTGTACCGCCTTTGGAGAGCTTTACCGCCGATTTCTTGGCGCACTGAGAGAACGTAAAAGGCGGTAATATTTTGTACCTCCTTTTTCGCACCATCTAAATGGCATGCAATGGGCGGTAATACTTTGTACCGCCTTTTTCGTTCAATTTGTAGGGTGCGTAATTGGCGGGCTCCAGATTTTACCGCCAATAGAAAGGCGGTACAGGTTTTACCGCCTTTTCCACACCATGTGTACCGCCAATAGATTTGTAGTGTTTAAGCAGCCACTGCGTCTAATCCGAGGCGGTATTTCGTGCTCCTTCAATGGACAATTGGTCTTTGGGCCTTCCTTTAGCATGCTTTTGTTACGGAGTGCGATTATCTGCCTTAGTTTGGGAGCAGTATTGCCGCAAACTTGATCAAAACGTTCACAAATGTCTTTGGAAAATCGTTTTTTGGGCTGACTTTAAGCATCCACTGCGTCTGATCCTAGGCGGTATTTCGTCCTCCATTAGCAGGCAATTGGTCTTTGGACCTTCCTTTAGCATGCGTTTGTTGCGGAGTGCGATTATCTGCCTTAGTTTGGGAGCAGTATTGCCGCAAAGTTGATCAATACACGATTTTTCAGACATTTGTGACCGTTTTGATCAACTATGCGGCAATACTGCTCCCAAACTAAGGCAGATAATCGAACTCCGTAACAAAGGCATGCTAAAGGAAGGTCCAAAGACCAATTGCCCGTTGAGGGAGGACGAAGTACCGCCTCGGATCAGACGCAGTGGATGCCTAAAGTCGGCCCAAAACACGATTTTTCAAAGACATTTGTGACCGTTTTGATCAACTTAAAAGTTGTTCCCGCCAGTGCTCGGCGTGTGGGCCAGCTGGGAAACCGCCGCCACCCCAAGCGACCCCAGTTACCTCGCCGCGACCCCTCGAAATTTTTTCGCGACCCCAAGGTTGAGAACCGCTGGGCAAGGATAAAGCGAGCCACGAAATTGTGATAAAGATACGTGAGAAGTTCAACGTCAATATCACACGGCCGCAGCATCACAAACCTTTTCGTTTCAAACATGGTGTTTGTTTACATTTCAACCAACGCACAGCGCGGGGAGGGTGAGAGGGGAGGGGTAGGGAGGCAGAGGTGGGCACACTCCAAATCGAAAGGCGGTAATATTTCCACCCTTTACTGGCGGTACTTGGCTATTGGCGGGCTCCAGGTTTTACCGCCAATACGAAGGCGGTACAGAAATTACCGCCCTTACAGAACCGTTTGTACCGCCTTTGGAGAGCTTTACCGCCGATTTCTTGGCGCACTGAGAGAACGTAAAAGGCGGTAATATTTTGTACCTCCTTTTTCGCACCATCTAAATGGCATGCAATGGGCGGTAATACTTTGTACCGCCTTTTTCGTTCAATTTGTAGGGTGCGTAATTGGCGGGCTCCAGATTTTACCGCCAATAGAAAGGCGGTACAGGTTTTACCGCCTTTTCCACACCATGTGTACCGCCAATAGATTTGTAGTGCAGACGCTCACCTCACCCCTTCCCTCTCCCGCCGCCGCGCGTAAGGGTGGCTCGCCGCGCGCCTTGCTGGACAGGAGGCAACCAGCTGGCTGCACTGCGAGATTGGTTGCCTATGGCGGCGCTCGACGCTCGACGAGCGAGCACATCTTGCATCTCTCTCGCACTCAGGGCGGCTAGTGGGTTAGACAAGGATGGCTGCCGAGCGGCGCGCTGCCTTGCCTGGCATCGAACCGACCGCCGCTCGCAGCGAGCCAGCGCGTTGCGAGCTCGGCTACGCAGCCGAAGCCAAGCGTGGTGCCGATCGGAGCGGGTTGTGCGACGGCCCGCTCCTCTGACGGTCCGGGCCGCCACCCGGCCCATGCTCAGGGTGGCGGCATGGAGACCCACTATCTGGTAGTGTGTCTCCATGGTGGCGGGCCGGGCTGGGCGCTCTGGCCAAGCAGCCGCAGTTCGGGCGCCGCGCTGCGCTGGAGTCACTTGGTGCGCACTTTTGCCCGCTGGGGGCTTTGCCCGGGTGATGCCTCAACAAGCCGGACAGTTGCCCAAAGTTGCCCGATAGTTGCTCAGAGTTGCCCGGGTGGTGCCCGGATGTTGCCCGGAGTTGCCCGGGTGTTGCCCGGGTGTTGCCCGGGTGTTGCCCGGTAGTTGCCCGGTAGTTGCCCACCGGGTGCCGGGCAGGGCTCGGGCTGTGCTCGACCCCTGCTCACCTTTGCTCAAAGTTGCCTGGAGAAATTTTATCTCGGGCTGTACGTAGGAAAAAGTGGCTGCCCCAGGTCAATACCCTGCGAGGTAGGCAACCTGCAGTACATTGACCACCCCAACTGTTTTTGCCTCTAAAAAATTTCCAGCGAAATCACCTCCACGACATTTACGTCTACGCGTCCCAGGAGAGCGCACAGGTTAGGTTAGGAGCGGTTGCCCGCGAGGCCGTGAGCTAGGACGGCGTGATCGGCGGCCTGCAGGCGGCCACCGCGCCTCGCCCCACGGCGCTCCAGGACCTGAACGAAGCCGTTGTCCAGAAGGGGCCTTATAGCCCTCGCTGCTGGAATCCACGGCGTTGCTGCGGAGCGGTGCACAGCGCTCTGCGCGGCCGCGCTGAGCTCCTTAAGGTCCCCGACTCGGCCAAGGAACGTGGTCCAGAGGCCATGGCGTCTTCGACGTCGTTGCAGGGAACCAATGCGACACGCTCCCGAACGCGCGCGGGCGGCAGTGGCACTCCGGTCGCCGTGGCCGTGGCCGCAGACAGGTGGGGGGTGGCCGTCGTGGATTCAGGGGGAAGTCCCTTGACCAACAGACGTGACACGCACTCCGCCTCCGTCATTCGCTAATGTAAAGCACGCAGTAAAGGACGGTCTAGAGTAGACTCCTTTGCCGAGGCCACGGTCGACGTGCTGTGGCCCCGCTGCCCGAAGGCACCGACGCCTGCACGCCGAAGTGGCCGTTAAGGCCGTGCCAGAGGAGGGCAGACGATTGCGTGCTGCGCCACTCGCAATCCCCAGCCCCAGCACCAGGTGCCCTGCTCTGTGGTCACCCCGCCGACTTCGGTCGTACGATGGATCGTGTCTGGCAAAGTGGATTCCACTTCGGTGGGTCGAAGTGATGATTCAAAAGATGTTTTGAATGCCCGATACGATGGACCGTACCAGGCGAAGAGAAAACTTGACCACATCGCCTAAGGAGCGATGTAAGAAACACAAGTCCCAGTTATGCTTCCGCAGAGAGGCGACGCCCCGCCGGACTCGTCCTGTCCTTCACACGGACCGCGCAAGGCGTTGTCGGGAGGAATGGGGGAAGTCCAACCGCATCGCAAGTTCGCCCCGACATGAGCTCGGCGCTTTGGCGCTAGAGCAGCAGAGCGTCATCGCCAACCACGTTGGCGGCGAGGTGTTGTGGTCTGATCCTGCAGCATGCATGCGTGCGTGCGTGCGTTGCGCGATGCGCACTTTATTGCTGCAGTGTCGGGATGATAGTGTTGTTAATACAGCTCACCTCTTCCCTTGTGTATCTTCGTATCAATGAACCAGGAGCAGGTGAGAGCGATGCGCTTAATGCTGCTCATGCACTGCAAGAAAAAAAAATGTACAAAAAAAGTACAACGGAGATTGTAGAAAGTACAACGAGAATTGTACAAATCACGAGGCCTGGACTGCACAGCAATCGTCATGCCGGTTCCATTGTACTTTGTACAACAATTGTTGTTCTTTAAAAGTACAATAATTTCCTGTTAAAAAAATTGCCAGGAATTTGCGTACTTTTGTTGTGGTCTTTTTCTTGCAGTGTGTGCAGGATGGGCTCGCTTCGGAGTTGTGGTTCGTCCGTATGGTCTCGTAATCGCGGTTGGGTACGGGTACGGGTACTCCTCTCCCCGCGCATCCGCGTTCAAGCCCCTGGGCTACAAGACAGCCTTCTGATGCACCGGAGGGCTGCTTGTGCCTCGGGGGCTCGCGGTGCGTCAGTGGGAGCAGGAGTGCAGGTGAGTTCCGCCCTGGCAAAACGACTGTTTGAGTTCGCACGCATTCGACCCGCCCCTGCAGGCGCCACTATGCTTTTTGCGCTATGCACCTTCCGTGGTGCTGAACACAGGACGTTGAACCTTACGTCGGGTCTGCATGTGGCATGCACCCTCAATGCACCGGGTGCATTGGGTGCACTGCTGCTGCGGGCCCGCGAGGGAAGCCTGGGTATGGGGTACACCGCTACTCTCTAAGGACGGTCTCTGAGCCGCGGACTGTAGAATGAACATACTCTGCAGTCCGCGGCTCGCATCCCGTGCAAAGAGAAATTGGGTTTATCGCCCTGCCTGCTTGCAGCCCCGCTGAGGCTTCGCACCGTTGTTTCTCTTTCGCACTGCTTCTTCGCACTCGATGTTTTACCGCGATGCTTTCAGAACCCTGTATACTGTTTCAGAGGACGGCGCGTGCACTGCCCGGTACTTGCCACCAGCTTGTCAGTGTGAATCGACCGTAGCGCCGGAAGGGAAGTCCAGAGAGCGGCCCCGGATTTGGAGCCAGTCGCAGTCTTGGTCTGATCCCCAGAGCGTGGCCAGTCCAGCGACCGCACCAGCGACTCGTAGGTATCGGCGTTCGACATTCGTTCCGTTGACTCCCCTACGTCCCTTGCTTTGCTGCTAAGCAAATCAGGCTGCGCGCCCGAAAGCGCCCGAGAGGTAGGCAGGGCCGAACGAGGTAGGCAACCATTCCGACTCGGTCGTGTCAGGCAGCGTCGGCTTACAGTCTCGCCACTTTTTCTCGCTTTCGACTGCACTCGACTACACTTTGAAACGGATTTACTCCTCTCCCCCACAACCACTCGTTCGTTTCAGTTCGTATTCGCGCCCCCCTATCGTGACATTTCTGCGATGCTTTTCACAACCTGTCTGTTGCAGGTGACATTTTTACTGAGCTCTGGCGGCACTACATGAACAGACACCTCCGGTCCGACACACTATCCCGAGATATTCGTCGTCAGTTCGCCAACCACTCCGCAATGCGTGCCGAGGCGCCGGCGCTGCGGGAAAGCCTCCAGCGCCCTGCAAGGTAGGCAACCCTTCGCACTCCTCTTAGGTAGCGTCCGCCGCGCGCTCTATCTTTTCTGTGGTGGCCGCTTGTAGAACTACGTCGGCGGACGGAACGCCCTCAGCGCGCTCTAGTTTCTGTGGCGGACACTTGTGCAACTAACAACAACAACCCCGAGCAGCCGAAGTGAAGGAAGAAAGTTTTTAATAATTGATAACGAAAATGCCGTTTGAACGAGTCGCCGGCAGCTACTTTGCCACTGCGCCTTGTTGAGTTCGTGTTGCTAGTTCAGCCGTTCTGCCGTTCTGCCTTTCAATCGTTCAGCTTAATAGTCTGATACTTCGTTGAAACAAATATCCATCTTAGGTTAGGTTCATTCATGGTGAATTTTTCACTGTTCTGGCAATGTAGAAATAGTTAGGTTTTCTTTATTTTCCCCTGCATGCAATATCATACGTATGAGCATTCAATATGTATTCATAAAGATATTATGTGGCAAGTCAAAAGCTGCCACATTTGCTTCAGATTCATTCGAAGCGTACAATTTCTGTTTTCAAGTATAACCAATCGAATGGATTCATTCTGTTTCTTATTGCAGGTGGCTGCAAGGGGAGTGCTGAATCTGTTCGCTTCAGTGTTGTGATTCCACCAAGTCTGCTCCCACTCGTCACATCAATAACCCTGACAACTTCGCCATATGGTTTGTTTCTTTATTCTTGTCTTGTTTCTATAATATTGTTAAATGTGCGGCAGGGAGGCTTAAAGGGAATAAGAGAGAATTGGGAGTAGAAAGACGGTTGTATTTCGGTTGTAGTAGGGAAGACTCGGAGAGCGATGAGAAGCTGCACGTAGATGCTCACACTCGAGCGAGCTAGGCGCAACTGCCGCGTCGATCCGCGATCCGCCGAGTCGCAGGGCCCGGGCGGCCCGCCCGCCCGCTGTAGTTCCCGCGCCGGCCACCAGGGGCAGCTCGGGCGCGCGCTCGTCGCTTGCGCATCTGCGCGCATGCGCAGTGAGGGCAGCGTTATACGCAGAGCGGCAGAGAGTCGTCTGCTGGAGTATTTACCAGTGTGTGCGAAGCGATCGCATGGGATGCAATCATTTGAACATCACAACATTACCCCCCTCTCTCTGTTAGAAAACTTGCCGATCTGCGTGATTTACCATTTAAAATGACTTGGCAAATCGTGTCTCCCCCATTCGGGATACGGTGGGTAGGGAAACCTCACTAAAACCAGACCCGGAGACCTTAGGCAGGTTACAAGCTACAGTGCAGCCCAAATCAAGAAGTAGCCAGCAGCTGACAACTTTAGACCCAGGACAGCTGTATTACTCAGAACACAACCAGTACGAGCAAGGAGCAGACAGAAGTTGTGGACTTCTTTGCAGTGTAGTTGGGGACCAGAATGCCAGGTGAGCGGTGTTGAATTGACATCAATCGAGTGGAGCGTAGGCCAGGTTTGAAGTTCAGAAGCTGAAGTGTGGTTGCTCCAGATACTTGTAGACTGAAACAGTGTCATTTCACGCAGTACTTTGTTTTGGTTTACCGTTTAGGCTCAGCTTGCCACCACTAGCAAGTGTAGCAGGAAATAAACATCACCAGTAACTAGGCGGTTTTAAATCATTAAAAATTTGTTTGCGGCAAGCCAAGTTAAAGTCAAAGGTGCACTTGCTGTTGACTTGAAAGTTTAACTACTTGAGTGAAGTTGCACCATAATCGTTAAAATGCAAAGACATGGGCACTGTTAAAACCCGTTTAAGAGTTTAGAATTTAAAAGCGTTGTACCACATCAAAATAAATGCAAAGTGGGTAACTTTTCCCGAGACTTAGTGACTATTGAATGGCAAGGAAAGAAACGTAACCCAACACAGCACATAGAAAGGGTAAATAATGCATTTTTAATGCATGGCACTAGAAACTTACACAATAGAAGTAAACAAAACTAGAAGCTTACACGATAAGAGGTAAACAAAATAAAAGAATAAACTCAGATACAAATTCAAATCAAAGACCAGTTTCAAAGATCTTCCACGTATTCATCTTCATCCAGAAGACGATCTTCCTCGTTGACTGTGAGATGGAGATCCTCGCTCATGTCGACGTCATCCATGTTGTCCTGGTTCGCAGCCTCGCTCAGCAGGGGGTCCCTTGACGAGGTCCCGTACAGATCCAGTTGCTGAAGTTCCGTGGTTATTGCCTGAGAGCCTTCAGCCACTGAGTTCTCAGCCAAGGGGGGAACCACAGGAGCAGAAGCTGCCACCTGGGGTCCTTGTGAGGCAGGGGCTGCCTTTCTGCCTTTACGGTTCCTCAGCCCGTCGACGCATTGGCGCATGCTGTGCTCAGCCCCGCAGTTGCTGCAGGGTTGAGGGCAGCCATCAGCCCTGTGGCCGGTTCGCTGACAGTTGCCACACCGCGGGTTTCTGTTTACCTTTAGTGGCTGCTCCTGCTCGGCGCCATCAGCTTGCGGGGGCTTGGGGGCGGCGGCGGCGGGCTTGTCCTGGGTGTGCTTGACGGCGGGCTTGGCGACGTCCTGTGGCTTGGCGGCGTCCTGTGGCTTGGCGGCGTCGGCGGCCTTGGCGAGCTTCTTGGCGGCGGGTTTGGCTGTAGGCTTCGCGGCCTGGTCGTCGGCGTCCTGCTTCTTGTGGCCCTTGCCCGACTGGCGGGCTTGCTTGCGAGGTCCCGCCTGGCCGCCTGGCGAAGTGCGCCCCCCCGCAGCCTCGCTGTACGACCTCTTGTTGGAGCCGGAGGCGGGGACGGGGACGGATGCTGCCGCGGCCGCGGCGCCGCTAAAAACGGAGATTTCCGCCTTCCCTTCGGCGTTGACGCCCACCGTAAGGGTGAGCAGGGCTCCTGGAGCAGGAGCCGCCACCACGGTCTGGGCGTTGACGGAGGGGCCGGCGGCGGCGGCAAGGCTCACGGCCTGGCTAGGGCGGCCGGCAGAGGCTGCACGGCGCGCCCCTTTTCCATGACCGTTGGCCCGGTCGTCAGGTGCTGACCGACCGTTGCCGCCGTGCTTCCTGCGGCCGTTGGCAGAGGCTGCCTTCGACCTCTGGAAGCAGCCGTAGCAGAGGGCTGGCTGCCCGTCCCGCGGCGGCCGTTGGGTCAGACTTTTACACTTTGAGCACTTCCAGGCTCTCACCTCGTCACTCGCGTCGTCAGGCTGCTTCTTGCTTCCTCCGCCTCCTCTCTTTCCTCCTCCGCTTCCCCCGCTGCTCACGATCACAGATTTCATGGTGGACATGGTCTTGCTGGGCTTTGGCGTCGCGGAGCGTCTGAGCGTCTTGTCTCTCTGAACAGCAATGGCGGCGGACTGACTGCTGCACGGCGTCCTGCTCCTGCCCAACGCCAAAAAGGGCGGGAAAGGGGCTGTTTGGCAGAGGGAGTTGGCTGGGAGGTCGCGAGGGGGCGGTCAGCCGCGGTCGCTGTGCCGCGAGTCGGCACGGCGCGGCTCAGGGCGTATCTCCCCTCGCCCCCCTCTCCCCTCGCCTAGAAGCTAGGCGAGAGGGCGGCGTGCAGCGAGTCGGCACGGCGCGGCTCAGGGCGTATCTCCCCTCGCCCCCCTCTCCCCTCGCCTAGGAGCTAGGCGAGAGGGCGGCGGCCGGCCGGCGGGCCGATGGCGATTCGCCGCGTTAGGCGCGCGCGGGGCTTTCCGACCCGGGTTCGAGTACCAGCGGCCGCCTCTCTTTTTTTTCGAGTCCCCAGGGGCTGGGGTGCGGCGGCCACTTCGCGTCTAGGCCAACGGGTCGCCATCGGGCTTCCTGCCTCGCCGGCGCCGTCGTCGGCCAGCAGCAGCAATCTGCTTGCTAAGCCTGTCGACGTGTACCACCCGCGGCCTTCGCCTGCCGTCGTGCTGGATGCGCATGGTGATGTCGTTGATCACCTTCGTGATCGTCCAGCCCTGCTCCCAAGGCCGCTGCAGCTTAGGGTTGCGCCCCTTTTTCCGTTTCGGATCGTAGAGCCACACCCTGTCGCCCTCGCTGAATGGCGTGATCCGGGCCTTCTCGTCGTACCTCAGCTTCATTGCGTGCGAGGCGGAGCGCAGATTCTGCGCCGCCTCGTGGTGCAAGTCGCGAAGTACGTCGCGCAGGTCGGCCGGCAGGCCCTTCAGCTTGGACATGGCGGTCGTGTCCGGCGGGCACGTGTACAGGTCCGCCGGCAGCACCAGCCGGCGTCCGTACATGAGCTCTGCGGGGGAGCATTTTGAGGCAGTGTGCTCCGCAGCTCGGTACGACAGCAGGACGAGGGGCAGGAAGTCCGGCCAGTCCTTCTGGCCTGGGTCAATGAACTTGGCCAGGCCGTCCTTGATCACCCTGATGAACCGTTCCGCCTTGCCATTGGCCTGCGGCCGTCCGGCCGTGGTTCGCACCCGGTCGATGGCAAAGATGTCAAGGACCTTTTTCAGGAGCTTGCTCTCAAAGGCTCGGCCCTGGTCCGTGCGCAGCACGCGGCACGCCCCGTAACGCGACCACACTTGCACCAACCCAGCCGAAAATCCCGGTTACGGTTCCGAGTACGGTTACGACCGGGATAGGATTCCGACCGGGATACGATTCCGGCCGGAATACGATTACGACCGTAATTTCGGACATTTCCGGTTACGACTACGATCGTAACCACGAAGGGTTTACGACCGTAACTGACCATTCCGGTCGGAGTACAAAGTGTCACAAGACATCAAGTTTGTCTTCTGTGGTGCTCCATCAAGCAGAGATCCGCGTTATTTATGCATGACCACAGGGTAAACTTTGCGAGCTACGCCCAATTTTGACTTCAGAAATTTATTATAAGTTGGACAATATTATACGCAGGAGCGCCCCTGCGAACAACGGCTTTAAAACATATGTACAGGAGTGAAGCTCCTGCGATCAAGGGCCCTATCCATTGTGTGCAGGAGCAAGCCTCGGGGGCCTACTCCTGCGGACAAGGGCTAATTGCATTGCATGCAGGAGTAGGTCCTGGAGCCTACTCCTGCGGACAAGAAGCAAAAATGTTATGCACAGGAGCAAGCCCCTGGAGAATACTCCTGCGAACAAAAACCGAAAAACGTTATACGCAGGAGCGGGCCCCCGGAGAAGACTCCTGCGGACAAAAACAAAAAACGTTATACGCAGGAGCGGGTCCCCGGAGTAGGGATGGAAAGCTGAAAGAAAAGTCCGGATATCTGCAAAGCGGTCAGATTTGAAAGTAATATCCGGTCTTAACCTATCCGGTTATCCGAGGTCGAAATCCGGATAATAGGCGGATATCCGGTAAAATATCCGTCTTTTTCCCATATATTTTTTCAAAATCAAGTATCCGGTCGCAACCTATCCGGATATTAGAAGGCTGCATCCGGATAACCGGATTATCCGGACGCGGTCTTTCCATCCCTACCCCGGAGAAGACTCCTGCGGACAAGAACCTAAAACTTTATACGCAGGAGAGTGTCCCGAATTACTGTTCATTGGTTAAAAGTTTAATCCGAGACGGGGCATGTTAACTGTTTTGGACGGGCGTGGATCCAGAAACGGGGAAGGGGGGGGGAGATGTTGCAAAAGTTGCCTACGTCTGCCATTATTTTTTGCCTACCTTTCAGGCGGCTTCCCCCCCCCCCCCCTCCCGAATCCGCGCCTGGATTTAAATGTACTGTAAAGGGCTGATGTCGAGTAGCATAAAACTTATTGGATGATATTTTAACATGCACGGCTTTTGCAAGGTAAGGTTCAACTTGCCAATGGACTTTTGCTACTGGAAACCACTCCAACTTGGTCAACAATGATAATCTTCGCCAGGACTTTAGCAGGTTTTGGTATCTATCAGAGACTATCAGTTCGGTCACTTTGATTGGGCTAGGGTTCAAAATTTGTCACTGGGCTACATCATTTTTTCTTGTAATGAATGTGTTGTATGATGCTTCTGCACAATTCCTTTGATTCTGGTGATTGCCTTAATTGTATGAGGAGCATCATCACCAAACTGCATGATTGATGAATTTCAGTAAAAATATTAATGCCAAATCCAAAAGTGCTTCATTATTGCAGAATTGAATAATACATTTGGTTTCCCATAGCCCTCTTAATATCTATGAAGGCACAAACAATAAGTATGTTCTGAAGTTTCTCAAGATTTTAATTTTATTTTGGGTGGAGTATTCAAAGAAAGGAAACCCAAAGATCCGAGCACATTATAAAATAAGAATTCCTGAGGAAGTTGTTTAGGAAAAAAAAATACAAATCTTTAGAAGTATTGTTTATTAAAATGAGTCATTTTAATTTGTTGAAACGTTGCATATAATCTTGAACATCTTCAGAAAGAAAAACACTAGACATGACATAATCTAGCCATCCAGAAAGAGTAAAAAAATTAGACATGACCTACTTAAGTACAGGTAAAAAAATATTAGACATAAACCAAGAAAAAAGATGTTAGATGTGATCTACCCGTACATACATTCTGGAAGGAAAGATTAGACAATCAACCTAAATCCAGGAGACAAATATTAGCCACATAAACACTTCCGAAACAGTTATTAGAATAAAGTGTATATGGTAAAAACCTTAAAGCCTAAAAGAGACCTTCAATTCCTTTTAAATCTTCAAAACTGTAAAACCAGGTGAGGATTGAAAAAAAGGTAAATTCCAAAGCAATGTCTATGCCTAGAAAAAATTAGATTAAAAAAACACACAAAAAAAAACTGATTACCTGACACAGAGAATAGTCAAAAATAAGAAGAAACCAATAAAAAGTAAGGTACAAACTTGTCATAAATGAGAAAACATTAAGATGTTACTGGAAAAGGCCGCAGCCTAAGTAAGCCTAAGACCGCCTTGGTAATTTTAGGTGGGCCAAAAGCTTAAAACGTAACTTTTGGAGTCATGGATCTGAGCCATGTTCCAACTTGTGGGCCACATTGATTTTCATCTCTGGTTTTTAAGTTTTTATCTTGGAAATTTTTGAATTTTTATCTGAATTGGAATTTAGTCTTGTCTTTCTTTAAGTCTGCTTTACACTGCTATGGCATGGAGCAATCTAAAGTGAATTGTAATAATCTAAAGTGAATTGCAATAAAGAAACTTTGCAAATTGTTCTCATGAACTATAATATTTTATAAGGTAATCCAAGATTACCGACACCTTCTAAGGCAATGTTAGTAGGGCACAAATGAAACGGGCACACCTAACTTTACCTGAGCAATCTGAGGTTTACGTGGGCTGCTGGTTTTTTTGGGTAACATGGTAACATGATAAAAACATAAAGACATCTTCATATAACAAGGCAAAATTACTTACTGGCCTGAAAAAGAGAGTACAGATTATTCTACTATCATCACAGAAGTTGGGTCTTCAGCCCTACATGTAGCACAAACCCAAGTGTCAGGTGCTGCCAGTAGACCGACACACTTAAAGTGGAACCACTCATTGCATGATTCACATTCCACAGTTGCGACATCATAATCTTCAGGCATACGGCATACACAGTACACTCCAAAAACCTCTTTGAAGCTCGTTCTTCCAGGCGATCTAAACAATGACCTGTCAACCGGGAATGATGATAGTAATTTCTTTTCCACACAGCTGTCAAAATGGCTCTCCAAAAGAGATGACTTGAATACTTTGCATTGGATTCTTCGGTTTTGGCAAAAGTCCAGTGCATTGGCAACTGCAAAGTATCCGCAACTACTTTTGTCTTTTTGCTGCTGACAGGCTGGGTAGGTAACACTTATTGTTGGTCCCTTTGTTGGGACTAACTCAGCGATGGCCAATTTCAATGATGGTGTCAGATGAGCGACACCATTGCTTCGCTGCAAGCTGTCATATACATAAATTTTGGGGCCATCACTTGTTGTGCTCCTAATTATTACAGCAACCCAATGCTCCCTTTCTTTGTCATATAAAATTTGAACTGTGTCGACATTGCCATTCATGGTAGGTTCGTAGGGGTATAAACCAGGGGCGGGTGACTGAAACCCAGCCACCTCAGGAAACTGTTTTCTGAACAGCTCCAGAGCATTTTCAAGGTCATCTGTTGTAAGCTCTCTGGGTGTTTTCACTACACTTTTCTTCGCCTTGCTACCCACTTTGTTTGCAGAATCTGAAATACAAGTGATACACGATACCAAATTTTAAGCAACAAACTTATGGGAAAAGAAACATGACACTTCAACTTCCACACTAACCATGGCAACTGCGACAAATGCGCTTCTGGCCATACCCCTCTTCTTGCCGAGGTGCAGGAGCTGAACATGGCATTATGGCGTGCACCACTTTCTTGCAGAAAAGGCAAGAGTGGCCTCCTGCCTCCAGCAAGCAGGAACAGCATCTCTGAACACCACTGGCCACATCACCTACGACAAAAAAACATGATGATTTAGTCAGAAGAAAATGATGAGTCCAAGAACAAGTACAGTTCCGAAACAGACTGCAGAGAGACAGCTGGTGTTCCACACTGCCTCAGAAACAACATAGTTTCTGTTGTCTGTACATACCAAAATGCAGACAAAGTCCTCAGAAGGACTAATAAAACCCTTGAAAGGGCTGTGGTTCCCATTACGTTAGGAGTATCCTGTGAACCTCTTGACCATTTTACATTACAAAACTCAACAAAAAAGTAAGAATAATTACAAACCTTATGTTCAGCCTTTAAGAAAAATCACTCTCACCACATGTGTAACGTGTGTGGTGTAACCACGAGAATCTGTTCCAGAGGCAAATGTACGAAATTTTGCAATTTTTTTTCTCACAGTTGTTTTTACAGCTTAGTAATAGAGAACATTGTTTCAACAAAATCTTTCAAAGACATCATCTTTTACTATTCCATAAAACAATGAGAAAAAAGAAAGCAAAATTTTGTAAAATTAAATTTTGAAGAATCACTTAATTGGCCATTCTTCAACATACTGTACCTTTAGAACCCTGCTGAGAACTCTGTACAGATCCTTGAACTTGGGTGATTTCTCTGCAAAAATATAATTCCACCACATTGTATGAGAAAGTTTGATGTGTAATTGTAATGGTAAAATACACAATTTATTATTTTGAACATACTTAGATGTGTTAGAAATTGGTGCCCAAAATAAGAAGGGTTTCTCCTTAGAACAGTTCTTGTTAAAACAGGCAAAGTATACCCGTCCAAAATTAGGACTGCTTCTGTCAGTGATGGTCGTCCTTCAAATAAAAAAAAAAGTTCAATACCAATACACCTATTAATGCACTGACTTACATGGGAAGGAAAAGCTCATAACAGCACTTACCTAGTTAAATCTTTGTTAGAACATGTGAAGCATTTCCAATGAGGACGAAGACCTACATATTAAGTGAACATTATAATACTGCGATGTCATAGGGAAAAAAAAACCATGCAGGAAACTCTACATTGCTTCAAAAATATTTTGTCTACATTTTAAGAGTGATATTTAGATTCAAAAAGATAATCTATTCTGACACACGTACCTGAAGATGTTTGAGTAGTCTGTACACTAGACGCACTACTTCCAGACAGTTTTAACCTCTTTGCAACTAGAGTCTGTGGCGATGAAGCTTTTCTCTTCCCTTCCAACAAAGCATTTTCTACAAGACATTACAGAGAAATTACACAAGAGAAGTAATACTCAAGAATGTAAATAATAAGACAAACATGGGAAAGGACATTTCAAAGATTTAAATTTCAAATAAAAAAAATATCAATGTTATACTACCAAAGCACACTAAGATTTACTCCCTTCAACCAAACCGGATTAACCACAGCATTACTGGCACAAAGTAATGGTACTCCTGCAACTAAGTACTGACAGGTCTAGGTCTCAGGACTTTCAAGAAACAACTTACGTTCATTGTGGTCAACCTACATTGGCAGCACAGATTAATCTCTGAGAAAGGTGTAAAATATTTTACAACAATCAAGTGAGGGAGACTTTTTAAAAGTTTCACAAGTTCAGCAATATGTATTAATTTTTTAAGTACTTGACACAAACAGTCTTGAATTATTCTGATTGAGAAAATGCTAAACGAGAATTCAAGATTTTGGTTAAATAAACTTATTATAAAGTCATCACACTTGCATTGCAAATTATTTCAACCAATAGACAAATTGAACATGAACCTGAAAACACATAAAACTGACTTGAATCTCCAGTGCCCATGCCTACAAGATAAACAAAGTGACCCTGCTAAAGCATTAGAGGGAGCAACTGCACCACCACGGAGATCTACATAAAAGGAATGCCTGCTTCATTTGTAGCCCCAGCAGGAGGATGGATGTTACCTGCACCCCAAATTCCACAATAATAACATATGAGTGAGACCTATACCTTGAGATGGATTGATACTACAATCAGAGTCATTCAGAGAAGAGTCAAGAAGAAGGTCCGTTTCAAGAAGAGTGTCAATGTCATTATCCCTATCTAAATCCATAATACTGGTAGTTATCTCGCCCCCTGTTGGGGTATGTCCTGTAAAACACATAACATTAAGTCAACAAGGCTTTCATCAGGGTTGATGTGATACAAGGTATCTTCTTATCCACTTCAAAGAATACAAACCTGCCGTGTCATTAGATTCCAAGGAAATATCACAATTGTCATCCCTTTCAGTTTCCTCAAGCAGTGCATGATCACCTCTTTCCTTGCTTTCTTTATCTACTCCAGAAATTGTGTCCATAGTGTCCGCTGTTTCCTCAACAAGCACTATGTCATCACCACTTTCCTGGTCTTTTTCAACTTCTTCAGAACTAGCGTCCAAGGTGTCTGCAATTTCCTCAACAAGCACTGTGTCATCACCAGTTTCGTTGTTTTCTTCATTGTCTTCAAGAATTGTGTCCAAAGTGTCTGTATTTAAGTACAAACAGTATGAATTATAAAGGCACTGAAAACCTAGACAAAGGATAAAGAGGAACAACAGTACTTGTGCCTGGAAGCCATTCGAAGAATTTTCGACAGCCATAACCTTTAGGATTTTTGCAATGGTACATTTTCCTGCCTCTATTCATCTTGCTAAAGGATGTACGACTGAAAAATTAGTACAGTGTAAGAAAAAAATGGATAACAAAAACAGACCTTTTCAAAACTGTGAAGGCGACACATTATACACTTTTGAACTCACATTGAAGCTACTTGCTGGCAAGAACTGCATACTTTAGGTGAAAGTCCGACTGAAGAAGGAGCAGACAAAAACACAAATAAATGCATGAACAGAAAGGTCCAACATTTCAAATCTTCAATATCATTTAATTAATACCTTCATCAGCATCATCTTCTCCTGCGTCAGATCCCTGACCCTGCTTTCTCTTTGATTTGGGATTGAACATCGGATGCCTCTTGTTATTTCTGGGACGTCCCCTCTTCGGCGCTTTGACTGGCAGTTTGAGGGACAATTTTGCCCCAGGGACCATTTTCTCAAAAACTGAAAAAAAAATTGGAAACTGCTTATTTCATGTGGACAGAACAGAAAGCTGGTTTGAGAGGAAGTAATTACCTTCTGTAGTAGTCCTCCTGTGACAAGGAATGACATCCCCTGAGATGATGCAAAACCAAGAATTATAATAAATTCCTTACAAAAAAAAGAAGGAAAAATAAAACATTAAAACTTGTAATTTATACTAATTTTGTACTCACCTTTATCATTATTGCTTGGAGTCACATCAGGTGGTTCGGGTTTAACTACAGGAGAAGAAAATTCTTGCAAGTCCTCAGTATCACTGTCAACTATATTTATTACCGGCACTTCTGACGTGTCCTTCTTTTCCAATGGATACACGATTCCTGCAAGTGGTTTGAACATTTGGTAATGAGAAATAAACAAATATAACTAAGCGCTTCAACAGTTGTGAAATTTTTGGATAACATTACCTTGTGATTTGTTATTGGCATCAATGGTGACAACAGCAACTTTCTTCCCCTCACTGAAATATTTTGAAATGCACATAAGTGCATTCAAATTATATTCATATTGTTGTCCACCAGAGTTTGCAACTTTGGAACATATTTCTGTACATATTTTCATGCACTCTGTGTATTTTTGCTCCGATGTGAGTGTTTTCTTCCTTTTCGGGACTTTGACAGAACTGGTTGCCATGAAATTGATACTTGATCTTAAGTCATTTTCTTCATCCTCCAGTTCAGGTGCAAAGCAGTCCTCATTAGCTTTCCACCTCGGAGGAATCAAGTCATGATCATATACCTCAACATCTGCAAAATTTACAGAATACAGTTAAACAGATCTAGAATATGTAAATTTAGTGAGAACTAAATGATAGCATTGGCAAGTAATAAATTGTGGCCATGGACACTACCTTCAAGCTTTCTTTGCCGGAAAATGTGGGAGCAAGGTAGCTTTGTATTGCTGTAATATTTGCAATCACAAGTACTTAGAGAAACAGTATGAAGGTTGCTCGATGGAGGATGCTTGCTCCGTTCATAGTTTCTTTGGAGTTCTGCGGCAACAAAAGGTGTGTTCAACTTGATTATTTGCTGAAGGATGGCATCATTGGAGTACTTATGGTATTTTACTTTCACTGAATTGGTGAAGTCCTTGTAATCATTGTCCAAGTCTTTAAACTTGTTAAGCATTCTTAGCCTGAAAATCACTTCAGCTACAGGGTACGCTTTGCTGACAAGAATCTTAATTTTAGCATTTTGACTTTCCACTCTGCCTGTGGTGCGCGCCTTCAAGTTGAGTGATAAGTTGCGCTGGTAGTCACTCCAAACAAGACCACTATTGTGCCAATATTTATGATAATAGTCCATAAAGGCAGGATTTGCAACAGTTTTCAAAACACCGTAAGCTTCATCAAACTCTTCCTTACTGTGAGCATGAATCAAGGAGAGCACAATTGGATGGACGTCTTCCATGTAGTTGGATCCATGGTGCTTCTTTCCACCTTTCTCCATTGACACTTTAGAATGATAGTCGCACAGATGGATCTCAGCATGTGGTGCAATTTCTTTGATGGCAGCAATTTCACTTTGATCTTTATCAACAACAACAATGCCGAGCCTCTGAAAAGCATCATTGTTGCTTCTGCAAATAAGACTCAGAGCATGCGAAACAATTTCTTTCTTTTCTGAGCTAATGATTGCGTAACCCGCATTTCTCGAGGATCCATAACAGTCAATGGTTTGGAAAACAATGAGGGGCATATCATTGTCACAGAGTTTGTATGTGGTGTCCATAATTAGAACCTCAGGATAATCACTATAAGCTTTCTTCATGGACGAGGTTTGAAAGAAGATGCTGTTGATTACACCACTGTCTGCATCATGATTAATGACGGCAACACTCCCAGGATCTTCTTCCAACATTTGTTCCAGCTGATCAAATACAGCTGCCTCTGGAGTTTTACCGCCCATCTTCTTTTTTTTCCATCGGTTCCTGAAAATATGCCAAGAACATCCATTGTAGTTAAACCAACCATAAAGAAAATCCAACCAGTTCCAAATAAATAATTATAATGGTAAAATAACGCAAAAAAATTGTATCAATTACCTTAAGTTTTGAATGTCCTGCCTTGTTGCAAGAACACCGTAAGAGCAAACCTTGCTTCGTATGTGATGTGCTTTCACATCATTTTCTAGCAGATCCTCTGCAGCTTCTACCGCTTCCTTCGGAATCTTCCGAAACTCAGGGTAGAGGGAAGTAAATTTGTCATTTATAGGATGATTCGAGTGCTGCTCCTCAAGTTTTGTTATTTCAAAGCATTGATCTTTAACTGAATAATTGACATTGAACTTTGCTTTGCAATGTGTCTTAAATGTGCTGTGGTGAAAGAAACGTGCCAGTTAAGTATGATAGGTGAAGATTTTTAAGAACAATATGATAAAGTGACACACCTCTGGTTGGCACGCTCTTTTGTTCCTGGTACATGCTCATGGCTCCTTGGAGCTCCATAATGTTTGCATCCAATAACAGCTTCTTTCCAATGAAGAGACTCATCTATAAAGTTAGAAGAGCCTTTACTTCTCTGTTTTCTGTTGTACAGAGCTGCACTTTTGCTGGACGAGACAACCTAGGGAAGCTTTTTCTCATTAATGTAAGATTTCATTGCAGCCTCCAGCTCTTCAAAAGTTTTAAAGGTGCTTCCTAAGGCAATTTTCGCCATTTTTACTGTATAAATAAAGAGTGGACAAACATGAACGAAAGGCACAAGGAAAGCTCAACAGGTGGGTCTCCACAAAGGCTCACACAGACATAACAGCAATTTGCAAACTTTCACGCTAATATTAAAGACTCAGGAGGTAAGGACAAGGAAGAAAGTGAGCGACTTCTAAAACTTGAAGGAAATTGAGCTTCAGAGATTGCGAGAGCCACTCTCCAGGATTTGACAGAAATGTGGCTCCGGCGGACAGTCACATAACCTATTCCACCTGTTCCTAATTTACACCCTGAGGAGCGTCTTTTACACCAGTGGTAAAAAACAAATTCTACAGATTATTTAGAAAAGAAAAATACTTTAAAACAACTTACATTAGCTGAAGACGGAGACTTCACCAGCTAGCCTGTTGAGAACTCAGTTTGCACGCACCTCACTCTCTCATTTACCATACCAACCTACCGGGATGCTGAAACAAGGGCACTGCCAACTGTACAGAGAACTAATAAAAGAAAAACCCAATTCACTACAAATAACATAAAAAAAGGATACAGATAAGTTAGAAGAATCACAAAACGATCTTGACGACACTTTATTTCCTCTGAAAATAGCAGAAGACAGTTACTCCTGCATATAACCCATGAACAACTGTTCGCAGGAGATGTTTGCTCCTGCGTATAAAGTTTTAGGTTCTTGTCCGCAGGAGTCTTCTCCGGGGACCCGCTCCTGCGTATAACGTTTTTCGGTTTTTGTTCGCAGGAGTATTCTCCAGGGGCTTGCTCCTGTGCATAACATTTTTGCTTCTTGTCCGCAGGAGTAGGCTCCAGGACCTACTCCTGCATGCAATGCAATTAGCCCTTGTCCGCAGGAGTAGGCCCCCGAGGCTTGCTCCTGCACACAATGGATAGGGCCCTTGATCGCAGGAGCTTCACTCCTGTACATATGTTTTAAAGCCGTTGTTCGCAGGGGCGCTCCTGCGTATAATATTATCCCAGTCGGATTGGGGCTATATAGGTTGTTCATGAGTAAAGGAATCAGTCAGTCGGATTTTGGGGCTTTATAGGTTCTTGATGACAATTGATGATTGATTTTGAGTATGTTGCCGGTGACGGGGACCCGATTGCGGCACAGTTTCGGAAATGTCTCGACCAGACCTACCGACGGGGCGAATAAAAATTTTTAGTCGGTCGGTCCCCTTTTTTGAAGATTGAGTGGATTTTGTTGAATTTAGGCCTATTTAATCGTTTTGAGGATGTTGCCGGTGACGGGGACCCGATTGCGGCACAGGTTTGGAAATGTCTCGACCAGACCTACCGATGGGGCGAATAAAAATTTTTAGTCGGTCGGTCCCCCTTTTTGAAGATTGAGTGGATTTTGTTGAATTTAGGCCTAATTAATCGTTTTTGAGGATGTTGCCGGTGACGGGCACCCGATTGCGGCATAGTTTCGGAAATGTCTTGACCAGACCTACCGATGGGGCCCCGTACGAAAATGATGGAGTCCGAAAAGCAGCCAAAAACAGCCGTTTGCGGACCGTCCGAAACGGCTCCGAAAGTCGGACGGGGACAGTTCCCAAATCCGTCCTCGGACAGTTCCCAAAAACATTGAAAAAGACCAAAGTCAGAAAGATTCCGGACTTGTCCTGAGTACCAACGCTAGTCGAAAAACGGACAGTCCGAACAAATGCACCAGCCTGCTGCCCCTCGCCCCTCCCTTTCCCCCTTCCCCCTTCCCCTTTCCCTTCGGACGCAGGTTGCTTCGGCGGGCCGGCCGGGGGTTTTCCGCGGGAGCAGCGCCCTAGCGCCGGCTCGGCTCACCCTACCCGGCTCGGCTGGGCAGCCACCACTGTGCCGAGGCGGCTCGGCTCCGATCGGCTCGGCTCAGCTCGGCTCGGCTCGGGGGGCATGTTGGCCGGTCAGACACGGCAAGGGACGCGATTAGCCTCCAGTGGAATATTACACACAAATTTTGATCATGCACTAAGTGTATCATACGTGCAAGTACATGCCTGCACAAGCGAACTCGTTGAAGTTGTTTGCAAATGATGGAAACACTTGGGGACGAGGGTGAAAGAAGAGAGGCGAATAAAATAATACACCTCCCACCCTCTCACCGCCCGTCCTTTAAGTTTGAGAGACACACACACACTTGCGGTAGCCAGCAGCCAGCGGATAGTTGTTTGTTTGCGACACTTAGTACAGCAACGCACTCAAATTCGATCAATGTTTAGGAAAACGCCGTACACGACACCTCACCAAAAATTACTTCCAGAACAGTCGCGAATCGCCTGAACATTGCTCCGAGAAAGTATCGAGCGAAAAGTAGATGTGACTTGTGCGCGTTTTTCTGTTCACTGATCACAGATGCGCTGCCGTGCGATGTGACTCGCTCAACAGCTCGCCGTAAACTGGCGAAAAATGCATCTCTGGCCGCGTCCGCCAGAGCGCCAGGTAACCTCGGCAACCCTTCGGCTTTCTTCGGTATGCCGGCGAGCGGCGTTTTCCGCGTACCCAGTTGCCGGGACGTCCGGGCGCCCCGGCTCGGCTCAGGTGCATGGGCCGGCTGGGCTCTGCTCGACTCGAGCCTCGCGGGGCCTGGCGGGTTGGGCCAGCGAGGGGCTGCAGTCCGGGACAGCTGCACCTAGGCAGGACTCTTTCGGACAGTCCTTGACTATGAGTGGTTCTGAAACCAAGAAACGGAACTGTCCGGTCCGGACTCCGATTCGGCCCGGACTCGATTCGGGCCTAACCAGAGGGAAAGCGGAACTGTCCGGGGCTGGTGGACAACTTTGGAATAGTCCTTGGCTAGGTTTCGGAACGCTTCGCTATTGTGAGGGGCGAATAAAAATTTTTAGTCGGTCGGTCCCCTTTTTTGAAGATTGAGTAGGTTTGCTCGGAAACGGCGAGGAATTTGGTCCCCTTTTTTGAAGATAAAGTGGGTTTGCTCGGAAACGGTGAGGAATTTTCAACTTTTGGGATTTTTCCCAATTTTCCCATAAAATTTGGAATCGAATGGAAAAAACCGCAAGTCTCTACGACCACTCCTTGACCCCAAACATTTATAAGAGTGAGTGAGTGAGTCAGTGAGTCAGTCGGATTGGGGCTTTATAGGTTCTTGATGATAGCGATGCTTCGTTAACTTTTTTCAGGATAAGTCACTTTTTTAGGAGAATTTGTTCCGAGGCATGGTATAAACGATTTAATGGAAGTTAATAATGACAAGTTCATCTATCTGGCAATACCCCATATTTCGTGCAAACGTTCTTCAAGTCTATTGCCCATTCGGGGAACTTTTCCAAGTCCCGCAACTCTAACCTCACTTTGCTTGCGACCTAATAGCCTCTTTCGTGCGAGGTAGTGCGAGGGAAGCCCAATAAAGTGACTTCCAGGCGTAGTATATGCGTGACATACTTCATGAGAATCAATTCATGAAGTTCATAATGATTAATTGGCTGAGCGATAGCGAAGCCTGTTACTCCAGTGGGGTTGAAAAGTTTTGTCTGTCTGTCTGTCGGTCTGTGTGTCTGTGTGTCTGTGTGTCCGCACTACTCCTCCTGAACGGCTCGGCCGATCTCAATGAGATTTTGCACACTTTTTGGGTATGTCCTTGGCTCGGCACACGCGAAATTTCACCATCCTAGCTCAACTGGTTCAGTTTTTATAGGCGAAAAACACCTAAAAAACGGCGAAAAATAGAGATTTCTGCAGATAGACCACTTCTGTCTTGGAGAAAGGGGGGTCTGGGGGGCGGAGCCCCCCAGCCCTGACAAGTTAAAAAGTGACAAGGGTCAAGATCGTGTTATCTGTAGATAAAACAACTCTATTTACAATGTAGGGGGGTCTGGGGGGCGGAGCCCCCCCCAGCATTCAACAAGTTAAAAAATAACCGACAACGGACAAGCCATTGCCTGCCGCAGGCAGGCTAGCGCCGCAGGCCAAGGTAGGTACGCCAGGCGTGGATTGGAGGAACAGGCAGCAAGACATCGCGAAGCCTGTTACGACAAGACGCGGTCTGGCGTAAACCTACCTTGTACTCGGTCCTTTTGTAGGCTCTATAAAAGTTACGTTCGCGAAAATTGAATGGAAAATCCGTAGCGTGCATTCAACAAGGTGGGTTTACGCCAGACCGCGTCTTGTCGTAACAGGCTTCGCGATGTCTCGCTGCCTGTTCTTCCAATCCACGCCCGGCGTACCTACCTTGGCCTGCGGCGCTAGCCTGCCTGCGGCAGGCAATGGCTTGTCCATTGTCGGTTGTTTTTTAACTTGCTGAATGCTGGGGGGGCTTCGCCCCCCAGACCCCCTACATTCTAAACAGAGTTGTTTTATCTACAGTTAACACGATCTTGACCCTTGTCACTTTTTATCTTGTCGAGGCTGGGGGGCTCCGCCCCCCAGACCCCCCATTCTCCAAGACAGAAGTGATCTCAAAAAACTCGATTTTTCGCCGTTTTTTAGGTGTTTTTCGGCTATAAAACCTGAACCGGTTGAGCTAGTGTGCCGCGTGTGCCGAGCCAAGGACATACCTAAAAAGTGTGCAAAATCTTACCGAGATCGGCCGAGCCGTTCAGGAGGAGTAGTGCGGACACACAGACAGACAGACAGACAGACAGACATGAAAAACTTTTCAACCCGACTGGAGTAACAGGCTTCGCTATCGCTCAGCCAATCATCTTAAGGTATGTTTCGTGATTATTTATGTATCTGGTCACTTCCTACACCGCCAGGAATATAAAGAAACGCAGTAGAAATCCCTTTACAATATATATTCAAGTGATCTTTAATGTTCGTAGGGATATGTTTCTGAAATATTGCATGAAAAAGAGAGTCGCGAGTGACATGATCACTCTTAAAAGCCTACGAGGCATTTGCTTCATAGCTACGAAGAAAATGAAGACATAGTAGAATTCCTTCGTATTATGAAGAAATGTTTCGTATTGCGAGGAATTTCGCTTCATAATACGAAGCATTTCTTCGTAGATGTTACAATGCCTTCATTTTCCTCTTATTACGAAGCGATTCTTCGTAGAGTTTTTACTGTGATCCCAATTGTGTTTCCGTGGGTCCTTTTGGTGATGAATTGATGATGAACCACGTTTCAAAAAAAAGTCTCCCTTCTTGGATATCAATTTCAATTCATATTACTTCATTATTGTTCTTTGCTTCCTGTTTTAAATGCCTCCATACCAATAACCCTCTTTCCACTACCCTTTATCATCACCGCTTTTCCTCTTTAGGGAGACTTTGAATACAAGAACGAATCGGTGAGCTGGACGTTTCCTCACTTCCCCGTGATGCCCTACGGCCGCTACAAGTTCCGAATAACAGCACGCCACATGAGCAAGGTCAAGACTGCGATCATGCCACACTTCTGCGTAGTCGCAGACTGTGAAGTCATCCCAAAGCCGATTGTAGATCCTTAAAGTCATTTAATTTTAAAGACGAAAGTAAATGAATTCAGTATGTATTTTCAACAATCCTAATTAATCTCACTTTCCCTCACTGTTAAAATAGTTGTAGAGATACGACTAAATTACCAAAGGCCTCATCACTATGGCTTGAATCGAAAACGACGGCCGTACGTAACGAGTGATCGGTCCAATTGAGAGGTGCAGATTATCATGGTGTCAGAAATTGACGAGAAAAAAATGGGAAAATCATGGAGTTTTTTCCTAACATGTGTATGGAGCTCTCCATAAACTCTGGACTTTCTCCGTAAAGTTTGGGAAACCAAGAAAAAATCATGCTTCTAGCATCACTGACAATAGATAAATGCGCTAATACAATACAATAATTATTGCAGTTAACAACTTTTTCATGGCGCTGCTAATGCAATAAAAATGTTGTTATAATTAGTTCATCATTACACTTAGAAAACCAGTGATATCACGAAAAAATCTCATTCAACGAACGTTAATGAAAGCAGATGATACTCGTTTGGTTTTCTTGTACGGTGTAGTATGGGTTCATTCCAAAGATAGTATTTAAAAGCTGAGTCCTTTGTGCGCTGTAGCGGGGAGGGATTGTGAATGTTGCACCCAGGCCGTCGCGCGCGAGGAGGGGGTGCCATTTAGTCCGGAGATTAGTGGAACCCACCTTGCAAAATGTGATACCGGAATGCCACTTGGCACAGTTGTTGTATTATCCCCAAGGATCATTTTAAGAGGTGGAGCCCAGGTGGACCCCCCTGCAGAGCGGCGGTACACGCGTTTGCCTGTTTTCCAGGGGCAGAATTGAAAATCATTCGAAATAGACCTTATCTGACTGGCTATGGACCTTATCTGACTGGCTATCACCTTGAGTTTTGGTACAGGACCACTTCTTTGGATGCCCAACGTGATTTTACTCTGGTTGGAAGCAAAATACCGTTTTCGCGAATATTAAGTTCTTGACGTCCATTAATCGGTCCATGCAAACTCCTGGGAAATCGATTGAGTATAAAAACACATTTCATCACTGCATGCGTTTAAAATGTGGACGTAGAAGAGCCCCGAACGCGCATTGAGGGTACAACATTGGTACACGCAGTCCAATAGCTTACATGCAGATAGAAATATATGATAGGAATACCCACGGGTGCTGCCGTATGTGGGCCACTTGACGTGAGGGCAGCCTCTTTCGCAACAATTCTCTTATGCACGACGCCCCCTTTTTTCATGAAGGGGGGGGGGGCGGGTGATTCCGTGCGTATAGGGTCATTTTGGATGTATCAAATGTTCTTTTTTAAAGTTCAACTTTAGGGGCTATATTTGGTGTAGATGGTATACATAGTACCCCACAGTACCCCTCTGAGCGTGGCAGCGCTACAAGTTGACTTTTAATTTCTTTCCCTATGAAATACGGCGGAATTTACAGAAATTATGACGGAATTTACAGATTATGGAATTTACAAAGCGAAGTTTTTAGTCTCCTGACCCGCTGGGTTACAAGATAGGTAGAAACTGTTGACGGTGTCATTTTGAGCATCCAAAATAGCGTTTTTTTTTAGGGAAGATTGTTGGAACTTTCTCCCTCAGATGGAGGAGCTACGGCCCGAAACGGAATTTACAACTATTTATACACCCTTACCGTTTTGAACAATTCTGACGGCCTGGAAGCGTCGTTTGACCGCCCCAGGTCCCGCGGGCACGGGCTTCTGGAAGCGTTTTTTATGTTCTTTCGATCCCAAGTGGTCGCGAGGTTCCAAAATGAAAAGGAACCCCAGTAGACCGTCATTTGTGTAAACAGCATAGGTCACATGGCCACACGGTCACGGTGGACATTTTCCCGAGGGCTGTTTCGGGTTCAACAAGTGATGATACAAAGGTCACCTTCAGTAATTTTGTTAAGAATAAGTCAGGGAAGAGAGTGAAATAGCCAGTTTTCTTTTGATGTGGCTGAGTCATATACTACAGCATGGCAATGTTGTCTTATAGGTGTTGGTGACCATGACTGAACTTACAAAACGACACTTTAGCAGCTTACGAAACCTAGATAAACAAAAGTTAGATCGACTTATCCACATGAGGACATGGTCTTCGTTCAGTAAAACAAATTTGAATTGCCCAAGCTACCAAATCAACCTCAGTTCAGGCGCAAGGCCCCGGTGACCTGAAATGACCCCCTACGCACGGAATCACCCGGGCGCTCTGCTGTCGCCCCTACTTTGACGCAACCGCTCGATACATACTCTAAAATATAATGGCATTTCTACTACACCGTCGTATGGTAAAAGTACCGACTTCGGTATGGGAAACGACAATAATCCTATACGTGATTTGGAAAATTCCTATGCATTTCGTTCTTTTGCCAATTACCAATGCGGTGAAGTAAAAATCCGAACCGAGTAAAGGAATTTGATTTCCTATACTCGTAATTGTTTTTTTGCCACACTTTTTAGTAGAAATCGTATTACTTCAGGCCGTTGTATAATGCTTTTCCTTCAACTGCAACGCATTAGTAAGAATCCCAAAGATTTCCGCCCCAGCTTTTCTACGAAATACCCGTATTATTTCGACTTCTTCGGCAAAACTTGAAATGGGTTAGTCTCTGAAAATCGTGGCAACTCTGAGAACTATTTATGTAAATGAGCCATGGTTTTAAATCCTTGCGAAATTTTACGTGATATTATAATGAGACTGAAAATAAAAGTAGCGTCCAAAGCATTTTGACATCGTCTGTTAACACTGAGATTCCTATCCTATATTTCTATCTGCATGTAAGCTATTGGACTGCGTGTACCAATGTTGTACCAAAACGGTATTTTGCTTCTGGGAGGTAGGCAATTCCCGTTTGACGCATAGCTACGTCACCAACCAGAGTAAAATCACGTTGAGCATCCAAAGAAGTGGTCCTGCACCAAAACTCAAGGTGATAGCCAGTCAGATAAGGTCCATAGCCAGTCAGATAAGGTCTATTTCGAATGATTTTCCATTCTGCCCCTGGAAAATAGGCAAACGCGTGTACCGCCGCTCTGCAGGGGGGTCCACCTGGGCTCCACCTCTTAAAATGATCCTTGGGGATAGTACAACAACTGTGCCAAGTGGCATTCCGGTATCACATTTTGCAAGGTGGGTCCCGGTATGCGCCGCTAACGTCCGGACTAATTGTCGAATTCCGCGCAGGCTGCGGCTCGACCACAGACTCACCAGCCCGCCCCGGCAGCCAGCCCCTATTATATTGTTAGGATACAACTTGGTTTTTGGACTCTCGAGTAAAAGCTAGCTGACACCTTTATGTGTCTTTTAGTTGTAGTTTTAGGTATGTTTTTAAGTAAAGGTATCATCTGCTAAAAAGATTCGTAACCAGGAAGAGAAAAAGGGAAAGGTGACCTCCTTGCTTTGCTCAGGTTCCATGACATGACGGGAGAGTTACAAGATAAAGGTCATAAAAGCTCAAGGATGAGGTTGGAAAGCACTACGTAGCAGTCGAAATTGATTTAAGGGCATACGAGAAAACCGAAAAACTTTCGTTCACGCTCTCATGTTTCCGAACAATTTTTTTTCTTTTTCACTGGAATAAATTACGCGACACGTCAAGGTGAGTTATAATTCAGGGGATCAAAGCGGCAACAAGCCCTGAAAAGGAGGATTTGGTCGGGCTCTATTCTGGTAGAGACCTGCTGGAACGTCTCTGCAGCTACCCGCCCGGAGGATAGGCAGCCCAACGCACGCTTCATGGTAAAACACCGCACAGTGGGCTAGAAGAGTGGTGGAGGCGGCCAAAGCAAGAGCTCCAGACTCCAGAGTCGCTAAATGGTAAACCAAACGTGTGACCCCACCAATGGAATTCCTCGTTCAGAGTACAATCCATTGGTGGGGTCACAACGAGGGGGTAACGACCTAAAAATTTCATGTCCGCCGGATTACGGATTAACAGCGAATAGACCTCCGTATTACATCTAATTTTTCTTGGATTACCTTTGGATCACGCAGGATTACCCCGGAACCCTTAACATTTTCCGGTTCACCCCGGATTACCCTTTAATTTTCCTGGTTCACCCTAGATCACCTCCACATTTCAAGTCATCCAGATTACGGATTACGAACGTGCTGTCAGCCGGATTACCGAAGTCGTTACCCTCTCGAGTCACATTTTTGTTCGATTTCTGTTTAGCGACTCTGCCGGACCTCAAAACTCGTCTAAAATTTTGGCCGTCTCCCTGCAGTGCATTCCCGGGAATTCATTACATATTTTATGAATGTAACGTTTTGTTAAAATACACAGAAATTACCTACAGTTATGTTCTGTTCTCCTCTATGAGAAGAACAGAGACAGTTCATTAGGCAAATCAGATTAGGAATAACAGATTAGGAAGATCGTACAGGAATCTTAATACTTGTTATCTTGCAATCTCAGCCGTTTACTGACTATTTCTCATTAGCAGACGTATTTCTGTAAGCAACCATAATACTTAGTATTTAGTTCTTAAATACTTAAAAATTTCTTTGTAATTTAATAAGAAAACGGTAATATCAGTACAGAAATTGGCAATTGCTAAGTAGAGAAACAGTCAGTAAAAGGCTGAGAGTGTGCGCTGCCTTTTTTTCAAAACCTAGTCAAGTTTTGCAGTTCTCTTGTTCAAATTTCCGGGAATATTCCTATGCAATGGATCGGCATGAGAGATGCACCATTCTGGGCGATGACAAAGATGTCTCGCCAGCAGACTGCGGGACGCCGCGTGAGTGCGAGAGAGACAGAGCGACGAAACCGACTCTTGGAATGAGTCTGCAGGCGGAGATCAAAGGCCTTCGACGCGCTGGCGCGAAACTGGCCATCCCCTCCACTACTCCACCGTAGCCGCCTTTGTGTGCGTGTGTGATGACAGCGAGCTGAGGTGCAGGGTCGCTCGGCACTCGTTCTTCGACCAGTCCTGCTGCCCACGGAAGCCTTCCAGTCGGAACATTTGAGTGAGGAACAGTCAGTTTGTGGACACTCTTAGCCGCGGGTCGTGGTCGCAGTGTCCGAGGCCCCAGACTTCCCTCGCGTCGAAACCGCCATGGCGTGGTCTCGGCAGGTCGTGGTGGTGGTCGTGCTCGCCCTGGCCGTCTGCGGCGCCCTGCCTCCGGGGGCCGTGGTGCCCGACGGGGACTCGACGACCACGGCCTCGTCGACCACGGCCTCGACGACCACGGCCTCGTCGACCACGGCCTCGACGACCACGGCCTCGTCGACCACGGCCTCGACGACCACGGCCTCGACGACCACGGCCTCGACGACCGCGGCCTCGACGACCACGGCCTCGACGACCACGGCCTCGTCGACCACGGCCTCGACGACCACAGCCTCGTCGACCACGGCCTCGTCGACCACGGCCTCGTCGACCACGGCCTCGCCAACCACGGCCTCGACGACCACGGCCTCGTCGACCACGGCTATTCTCTCATCAGCTGGAGCAGTCTTCACGGAGGAGGCCTTCTTTGGACCTCTTTCAACCTGGGGACACGGAGCTGCTGGAGGTGAGGTCACTTCAACGAACACGCAGAACTTGTCTACGACTTGGATTTCAATTGCTCTAGGTTTTATTGGGTTGTTTTGCCCCCTCCCCCCCACTAAATGACAATTAGATTACCACTTGAAAGGTATGCAAAATACCATACACGGTAAAAACGGAACCTGGTTTTCCCGAAGCCAATGGTGAAGGTAAGGCCATTTCCATGGAGTTTATGGGAAAACCAGGAACCGTTTTTACCGTGTACTTCGCCCCTGTAAGTAGCCAGTAGCCAAAAAGTGAATTCCCCCCCCCCCTTTCCGATGGGGAAACCACTTTTAGTAATTGGGGACGCAAGATTTCTCAAAAAGGGAGATTTAAGAGGGTCGGGTTTCGCAAGATTTCGTCCAACTGTAAGCCTAAAATATACTTGTTGGGTTTTTTTGCCTTTTTGGGGAAGATTTCGGATTTCCAGAGATTTCGAGCCCTCTAGGGACATAGGAATTCTCGAGTGGTTGCCCCTATCCCCCAGGATCTGCATCTGCCCTTATCTTCCAGGCGCGGCCGTCCTTCCCGAGGAAGCCGTTTCGCGGTTCAACCTCCTCGACGGCGTGCGTCAACACCCGCCCTCCGAGGCGTGCCGGCGAGCCCTCGACGACGTCCTGGAGGCCAGCACGCAGCTCCGGCTGTGGGCCCTCAAGAGTGAGTGAATTACACCAAGACTGGTGGTAGACTTTGCCACATGCGCGGTGGCCTACTACTCCCCGGTCATTTCCCTTTGGCCAGTGCTCTCGTCGTCCGTGGCGCTCCCGGACGCGCTGCTGGCCGCCAACATGTACTCGCTGGGCGACTTCGACGGCTGCCTGTCGGTGCCCGAGGCAGTGTACTGCCTGCTGGACGTGGAGGTCCGCCCGGCCAGGCAGTCCGGGGCGCCCCCTCTGCCGACGCACCCTGGCGACGAAGTGAGCCCCTTCGAGCCGCCGCACGGCCACAACGCCACCCTCTGGGACCTGCTGCAGGTACACTCCACTAGAGGGGGCCGAAAGTCTAGACGCGTTTTGAGCTCCAGAGTCGCTAAGTGGGACTTGAACCGAACGTGTGACCCCACCAATGGATTCCTCGTTCGGAGAGCAATCCATTGGTGGGGTCACACGTTCGGTTCGAGTCCCATTCAGGGACTCTGGAGCTCAAAACGCGTCTAGAGTTTTGGCCGCCTCCACCGGTCTCCTGGCCCACTGTGCTTGTCGCTAACGCTGCGGCGTGTCGCAGACTTCGGGCAACCGGCGGCGGTTCCGGCGCGACCTGCAGCAGTGGGCGGTGTGCGTGCCGGCGGCGTGCGGCCCGAGCGGCGGCCAGGCCGAGCAGGCGGCCAGGCAGTCCAGCGCGGCGCTGGGGAAGGCCGTGGCCGCGGCGGTGGCGCCGCTGGGCCGCGCCCTGGCAGTGGAGCTGCGGCTGCGCCTCCAGCACAGCGACTGCACCGACTTCGACGACCAGCACGGCCACAGCTTCCAGGCGGCGCTGCGGCAGCGGCCCTCCCTTCTGCTCGTCACGTAAGAAGATGAGGGACTCACGGCGAAACTGTCCCCTCGCGCCTAAAACCTGACGAAGTATTTTGAGCATACATAGTACAAAAGAAATTACCTTGTTATACATGCAAAGTATTTTCTTTGTAAGCTTTGCTCAAAATGCTTTGTTATAACAAACTAATTTTCTTTGAAAGGCCCAAAATAGTTTGTAAGGTTTTCAGAGTGCTAAAAATTGACCACTTTTGCTGAGAAATACCAGGAGATGGATTTAGCGTGTGCCTCGAAATCCAAGGGGATGGTTTTATTTCCAAGGGGTTTTGTATGACTTTTCTAAAATTTCAAAATTGTTGTACTCTAACAGAAAAAGATCCGAAGGAGCGGAGCCTTCCAGTTCAAAATTAATACTCAGATGCTTTTTCCACTTAACATAAAGTCTTCCAAAAAAGTCTACGTGTCACTTCTTTCATTTCAACTTGGTGAATGGACCATTCTAGTCTTTTTTATTCGACCTGCGATCCCGTCAATAGGGTACTCCAATGAATCGTGTAAAGGAAGAAAAGAACAAAAGTAAGCCCTTAAAAACAGCTTCTGCCCTGTGAAAAAAATTACAGTAAATCCTGTAGTGATAAGTACAGCTGTCACTGTAGTGCATTACGGGATTTACTGTCCTTCGTACGGAATTTACTGCACTGCAGGAGTAGAGTACGCTATATCCTGTACCAGTTACAGTAAATACTGTTGCCAGGCACAGTAAATCCTGTGTTCTGAACTACAGTAAATCCCGGCAAAAAATTAACGGGATTCACTGTGGTTTTTTCGCGCAGTGTGCGCATGCGCACCGAGTGTTGGGGGAATGTCTGCGCATGCGCAGATGCTGTTTTTAGGGCTTACTCTTGTTCTTTTTCTTCCGTTTCAAGATTCATTGGAGTACCCTATTTGTATGCTGATGTCTTGCAAAGCAGCCTGCTGAAGGCAGGCTAGCACCTCAGGCCTGGGTGTCAACGCCGGAACTGGCGCAGCATCGCGAAGCCTGTAACGGTCTGTTACACGACAAGGCAGATCTGGCTCACGCCTACGGTACCTTCTGACTTTC